ACAAACTAAAGAGCTCACTTGTTTCAATACAACCATACCTCTATTATTCTTGCACTTATTTTAAAGTTTGCTTGCGACACTGGACGCTGAAAAATGGCTGTTTCATTACAGACCCGCTTTGGACGGCAAAGAGGACTGTGTCCTCAAAGGTGAACTTCTTAGTCCCAAAACTAAGGGACACATTTGCGTGCATTTCTGATAGTAGTTGACGAGAATGCAACAGATTGTAGCTGGAAATCAAACAACAGATCGTTGTTTAGATGATGAGAATTTCAAATGCACAAATTCTATCATCAGCTTCTGTGTTCCCACACACAAAGTACAGCATGGAACTGTAAGAAATGCTTCGTTGTTCGTTTTCCTTCCTCAATGATGCAACTAGTTCAACACGGACTGACTGGCAGTGATACAGCCATTTGAATAAGGGTAGCGTTTAGATTGTGCAAGTGCTGAACTTTAAGGACTTCATACCAAGTCTGTAAGATGTACAACCCTCTTTTTTTCCGCTGCTACTGCTGCTGCCGTTGCTACGCGATCAAATTTATGGCATCGGTTAAGCTGTTGCACTCTTCTCCATCCTCTGAGCAGCACCAGTAGGCCCTAATATTTGTGATTTTTACAGAGACATCATTGATATTCATATAGAAGAGACCAGACCTGCTAAAAAAGATCTCAAAATAGTCAGAATGGAGCTGATGGCAAGAATGTAACGGAGTATACATGTACGTGCATCGCTTATAAACTAATTGCATAAGAGTAATAAAAGTTTATGGGAAACTACCTCTTTCTTTCCCATTTGCAACATGAATAAAACTAATACCCAGGATGGGAGGTACAGCGACATTATGATTTCACACCTTTATTAAGCGCATGGAAATAGCAATGCCTATACTTTCTTTGGCTCAAAGTACCTATCAAATGAACCAATTCAATTTGTGACTGTGCAAATGGTGAACACTTTGTTATCAAATCGACCCGCCTACATGGGTCACACGCTTTCATCCCCGCCTTGATCTACTGCAAAAACAAACGTGCGAGCGCAACGACCGCTTCTAGATGTGCAGAGCCAAAGCACATTCACTACGGCGATGCTTAGAATTCTAGCTTACCGCGACGAGGCTCCTGAAGGCCAGCATCCATCCAAGCAAATCGTTCAGTCGCAAAACTTGCACATCGGGACAGAATGAGAACACAGTTGAAGAATAGTTAACTTTCTACCTTAACTACAACCATCAACTGAGCTCCAAAGGTTCGATTGCCTTATTTCTTCACCGACTCCTCGTAACCACCATCAACATAATCAACAATGCTGCTTTCCACGGCTAGGTAATGTATTTGAGAAATTTGGACTCCATTGCTCATTATGACTGAAAGAAAGTTAGAAATGGAAGTAAAGACATAAGAAGCACCAGAGTTCTGCTGTCTTCCTGTACATGGACTGGCCAGAGTACCAATCAAAGAAAGTCGTCATAGTCATCACCTTCTTCATCGTCATAATCGTAGTCGTTCATACTCCGCTCCACAACAAGCTTCGTTTTCGGCCCCTTCTTTTTGGTTTTACTCTACATGTAAAAAAGGTGAAAAATACGATCGTTTCGCGCACTAAAACACCTTGGACTCGTGAAAACCAGCCGATATGCCACACTATAAACAGAAATGCACAATGCACACCACACTCGAGCCAACAGAGAGATGGGCCTTATTCCAATGAACAAAAACTATGCGTATTACTTACCTTAGCAAGTCTCTGCTTTTCGGCCACCAGAGCATTGATTGACAAGGACAATTCCTTCAAGTTGTCCAAGTCCACTAAAGATAGAACTAATCAAAATATGGAACTACTTTGAGGTGAAATTTGTCGGATAAAGCCTTCGACAAAGTCTGAGTAGTGGGGAGAAGCCTTAAAATTAGGTCTAAAACAAGGCTACCTCGAGCTTCTTAAACTTCTCAACCAGCTTGACTGATAAATCAATGAAGTCCTGCTTAGTTGACACCTTATTAAAATCTAGCTCAGAGACCTGCAATGGTGCAGCGTCTGAAACACCAAAAGAATCCATGATAAGGTTACACTCCTGCTCCTTGCTTAGCTCTTCACGTTCTAGTTCGGTAAGTGGCCTAGCTTCATCCTCTTGTTTCTTTTGCAACTGCGCAATCACCTTGTTCTTCTTTTCAGCTTTAATTGCCATTTTCTCCTTCGCGGTCATTTTAGGTGGGGGAGCTTGCTTGGGCTTGCTACAAACTGGCTTCTCATCTACATCCCATGAATCCTAAAAAGCGTTGCAGTCAAATTATATACGTACAGGAACTTCTTCCTCGTCACCCCATGTTTTATTAGTGCTGTTGGGCTTATCATCGTCGTCTGCAAAAATAAACCACGGTAAATGAGAAAATTAACCCAACCCCAATCACTCATCTGAGCGACAATCTTGAGCACTTCAGAAAAGTCTGCTCGCAGGTGCTTAGCGATATCAAAACCCGACCAAGTGCTACGGACGATTTAAACAATAATTCGGCTTTAAGTACCTACTTGTTAGAATTACAAATGCTCTAGTTGCAAAATATTCCTGTCTCTGTTCATATTATATCGTTTCTCAAAAGTTTATCTGTTAAATTATTTAGCGAATTAGGCTGTATTTATGGAAAGTGCAAGTAATCACCCACACATGGTGGGAGCCCATTGTATTAATGTTGCGAAGCTGCCGCTTAGTAAACAGAGAGCGAATAAATAGTTTTAGTGCTTAATTTGTACATTGCAATAAAATGCCACTCAACGAGGTGGTTTCTGTAGATTTTATGGGAATTATGAAACAACACAGAAATGGACTATAAATGCTATCATTGTTCTTAGTCCAAAGTTTTGGCACCTACTATGATATTGCTGATTGCATGCTATTTTGCACAGCTCTCTGCCTTGCGGGAAAATTTTGCATTTTTATGTATCATTTTATCCACTATGGTCGTTTTGTCGTACATACGAATTTGATTCTACGCTATGCGGAAATAAAATAGAGATTAACTATTGTGCGAAGTCTTAACATCAGTACTTAGTTTATCTTCTCAACTTTATATTGCTTTCTGATGTCGTGTGGTTTTATTGCATAGTCCTTGAACTTTTGTCAATTAAAATTTTCGCCTTACATTTTACGAAATCCTGTCTGCCTCCTAATTGGCTAACTTCCATTGGGTCTACTCTATTGAGGACTGACCTTTGGTGTGTCCTTCCATGTAGCCATAATATTCGCTTGCTGTTGATCTTTACATTTTAACGGTGCATTTCTCGTGATGAGTAGTTTATTTGGCGAAATTTGTCATATTTTTTGCTGCCCGCCAAGACCATCTCACATTGTTGCGAAATTTGCGTTCCTGCCTCCTATTCCAACTTACACAATAGTTCAATCATCTGGTGGAAGAGAGTGGCAAATAATTTTTAAACCAGAAGTCGGCCTTATTAGCGATTACGCAAAGTCACGGATGGAGGTATTTTTAAATTATCGTTATCTTAACGCAGTCTTATTCTCATTTTGTGCATTTTTCTTAAGTATCATTGTTCCACCTTTGCCTATTGATTTGAACTGCCCTTTCAATGCCAATACAGTTGATGCGTCCTATGCTAAACGTTTCTTTTTGTGGAAATTGGCATTTTAAAGCGTGTGACATTGGATCTGAATTGTGTTCTTGGTTTGTTTCCAGGTATTTTACACAGTTACTAAGCGCAAATCAAGGATAGCTTGTCTTTATATTCATTATGATCCAACTGGACCTCGCCACGCTCTCACAAACTCAACGAATGATAGTGATTCAACAAGTCGTATTACCATACTTTTTAGTCATGGGAACGCTGTTGATATTGGTCAGGTAAGTCTTACGAACACTATTTGTTTGCTTTAATTCTATTGAAGTAGCGACACTTTAACATGATGCTAATACTACTACCTCTTGATCCATTGCCTATCGTTCATTTACATAAACTATATTCAAAGCACAACTGCCCCTCACGTCACCCCTATGGGGTGCACTTGAACGCATTATTTGACAATGCTTTCATTTGTAGATGGCTGGTTTCCTGTTTTCG